CGTGACGCTCTTTTGAGTTTAGCGGGAAAAAAGAAGATTTTTGTTAAGTCTCGTAGCCAGGCGGCCCTTTGCGGTAAACAGCCTTACAGGTGAGACGGTTGGAAAATCTTGTTGTGGTTGAGTCGGCATCTGAGGGATTTTTTCCTTGCTGACGCAGTTAGTGGTTGTTAGGTGAGGATAAGCTGGGCGTTGTGTGACTAAATCGTGCGGAGTGGCCCTGCAGGGCCTTAACGCGTACACACGTCACGGACTTCCGTCCAGGGCTTCACCTCACTACTGCTGCGTTTATTTCTGGGCTTGGCAAATACGTTTCTCTCTGCTATATCCAGGGCATAAGCCCGCTGTTTTGAAGTTGGCACAGCGCTTTTTGGAGCGCATTGATCGCTTAGTCCTTGTGCTCTGTCACGGAAGCTCCTGAACGCCACGCTCAAGTCGCTGTGTGGCCCTTTTCCCTCCTTACCGGTTCTTACCAGTTGCCAAGATGGCAGTTCCTGCTGCCCACTCAGTTGGCCGGAGTCATCAGGTTACCGCAGTGCCCTCCAGCACCTTCCAGCCATCCTTCATGCTCAGCAGTTCTGGCAGGCATAACACAGCTATCTCATTATCATACTTCATACTCTTCCTAAAAAATGCCCTTTTTCCTTGCAAAAGGTAGGAAGCTCGTAGGAAGCAGTCCTGTCTTCTGATTGGTATTGCTCATTCTTCATATTTCTGCCTGCATTTTTTGCTTTCTCATCCACTGACTCTTTTCATATAGGTAAGCCGGTAGATCTGCAACCATCCCTTGATCTGAGTTTGCTCAATGCACAGCATAAATGAGAGCCTAGCTTAAAAATAAGGTAGCAAACTGCAATACAAATTAAGTAACAGTAATGTTGCAGAACACCAGATGGAGTCATTGCTTCAAAATGATGTCAGTGCCAAGTGTTTTCTCATATTCAGCTGTTCAGTGAAGTCATCACTTCCAAACGAACGGGAATTCCCGTTCACAGATGTGGTCTTTTTTACACTTGTGTCCTTACAGTAGGTATGAAAGGAAGTCAGACCTTAACAAATACTTCTGTAGTACTGCTAATAATATATTTGGCAAAAGAACTGATGCAGAGAGAAATTTTTTGATGGGGTAAAAGCTTTTTCTTTTGATACAGTTGGTGATAGTAGTATTTTTCTTCTATTCCTCTCATGAGAAGCAGTCAATAGTAACTTGCGAAACAGAGAAGAGCAGTCATAGACAGAATTACAGTATTAGGTTTTCCCACTCCTTGAAGCATGAATGTAGCATCTGTCATAATTACATCAAAACTGTGGATTTAAAAGAATGAGAGTAGTTTGAAGCTTGGTTTAAATCAAGGCTGTAATTTCACAGGATTGCGTACTCCCAGCCTAAATGCTTTGCATCAGTGTTTGAAACAATTTCTTTAGATTTTTCCTTCTCTACCCATAGTTGTTTTCCAGGGGCTTTTGGTTGGTTTATTTTCAAAATGAAAGACAGTTAGAAAATACATTGCTATCTTCAGCTTATTTGCTATAATATTCAGTAAAAAAGTATCTCCTAGAGAAGAAATCAGGGAAAACTTTGAATGTCAACCAGAGATTTCAGGTGAATCAGCTTACAAGCTTTATCACCTATCTTTAAAAAAAATCATATTTTAAAAATAGTTAAAACAGGCTATAGTTGTAGAAGAAAGCTCTATTCCTGCTCTGGCCTCCAGGATGTTCCTCTGTGTGGTGAGAGTCCTTTTATACCACAGATGTATTTATGTCTATTTTCATATTTTTCTGGATAATATTTTAATTCCATGGAGATAAAAATGATTAAAAGGAAACCAAGACATTAAAATTCAAAAAAGTGAATTTGTAATTTGAATATAAGATATGTAGTGGTGAAATCCATTTTCATCAGTCTGTCTCTCTACGAAGAGTCTGATCTGAAGATGCAGATTTGTATCCAAATTCTTCTAAAATTGTGCCTTACTCGCATGACTATGTATTATTTCTCAAACACGTGATTTTCAACTTTGTATCACAAACATATTTTTGGACTCCTTTGAATATGTGATCCTGTCACTAGATTTTTTTAAAACAAAAAGAAGGAACCAGCTCTTTGTCACCAAAAATAAGAATCCCAAGAGCAGGAACATGTTCCACTAAATAGTCATAGTCTGGACAAGATCATCATAAAATATCATCTAGAGCATTTTCATGCAATGCATCCGCATCCATACAGATTTGTCAGTGCAGTAGAATTACTACGGCAGTAGCAGAAACAACACTGGCATACTTACAACTGAAGCTAGTCCCTGGCATGGCACTGTCCTATTCTGTTATTGGCTTCCAGTTCAAAGAGTTCTATGGTAACTTCAGTTGTGCTGAAGTTCATCCCAATTTCTTTCTTAGCAGACTTTGAAGAAATAAGAACTGTGATAAAGGTAACAAGAAGTTTTAAAATAGCACGCACCCCATGTTACATAAGGACTCACAGAATTACAGTATCTTTGCGGATCTAGTTCTAGCCAAAACAGAATGCTATATTGCCTGTAGTAAAGACATTAAGGGAACAGTAACAGGAAGATTTTTATGTGCGTTTGTTAACACGACATCTATCTGAATGTTTTCAGCATCTAAAAATATTCTGGCTCGGTGACCCAGTGGATTTACCCTTCCTATTAAGGCAGCTGCAGTGAAGACTGCAACAATGGTATGCTCTTTAGTGCCTTGTGTCAGGCCTGCTCTGCTCTTTTCTGTGAGTATCCTTGGACAAGGCCTCTGAAGGTGACCTGCAAAGCTGTAAGGGAAACGGAGTGAAACCACAGCCATAACCTGGCTCTCCCTACGGCCAAAGCAGCAGGAGAATAACTACCATAGAAGGCTGCTAAAACTGCCTCAGTTCATTTTCATTTTTAAATGGTACTGATGGTACTTTCTCAGTTTCTGAGGAGAGCTAAGTGCACCTTAACTAAGATATATATTATAGTTTACGTTATTTCTGAAGAAACAGACTGTTCTGCCATTCTCCTAAATGGATTAATTACTATGGCTTTCAACTCCTCCTTTCCTGTCGTTCTTCAAGGATCCTTTCTGGAGGGAGCATCACCCTAGCTCAGACTTTCAGCACATCATCTCCACGCCTTCTCAGAGAAGGCAATGCAGACCTCTGAGCTACAGACGCAGCCAAAGCCGTTTGTGCCTCTGCCGATCCAGCTACATCGTGCCTAGGACCTCTCTTCTGTATTACTTCTTAGGGACTGCAGGAGAGGTGATCATTAAGCAAGTCAGCAACACTGGGCACATTTTGCCCTAATTAAATCCATCCCTTTCCCTATGCAGAAACCACCTGTTTTTTACTGCCAGTTGATGTGTAGACATAACTGAATTTTGCTTCCCGAAAGGATCCCTAAGGATGGGGAGCTAGAGGTAATCTGGAACTGGTCTCTCATGAGTAAGGAGCACTGGAGAGGCCAGTTTCTCCTGCTGCCAAGCAGTAGTAGGAAGCAGCGGTGACAGCACATAGTGTTTTTATCAGTGACCATCCCTTCCCTGACAACAGGAGTTGCCACCCTACACAGGTGAGGTTTTTTCCCTGATGGTGGCAAGGGCAAACCTGGCTTTTCAAGACTACACCATAATCAAGCAATGGGGCCACTGCCCTCAGCTGCCTACACTCTGTTTTGCTTTTGCCTATAGGTAATCCCAGTTTTTGTTCATTGTAAGCATCCTGTGATCTCTTAGCAATATATATGTTGGGATTTTTAACTCCTCGAATCACTTAAAATTCAGTGTAAGGATTTTGTAAGTCATATATGCTCAAAAGGATAACGAGACACATTTTTAAAGGAATGGTGAATTCTCCGTAGCAATTAGTGCTTGTTACCTGGGATATAAGGTTACGTTGAGTACCACAAACTAATTTGCATTCATGGTGTTTTATTTCCTTACTTAGAGTGTGTTGGTGAGAGAGGAATCCCAGAATGGTGGGATGTTAATTTGCAGAAAGATTTAAATGTGCATCCCCTAGCCAGCCAGGCAGTAGCTAGATCTGGGGTGGATCAGGATAACTGCTGTGAGCAACAGCATTGATCAGCATCATTGGACCTTATGGTAATAAAAACCTCTTTAAAACACTCTGAAAAACAGCCAGTGTTCACAGTTTTCACTCTAAATCACTACATTTTATGTAGTCAGGTTTATGATGAACAGCATAGATGCCACTACCTTTTGTGACTATTTATGAAGAAATTCCAAGCAATCGT